CAATTTCTTATAAGAAAACATGGAGGCCAGAAAAGACTGCTATTATTACTTACTAATGAAATAAGTACTTAAAGGCTAAAAATATCCTACCAACCTAAAACTCTATATCTGAAATTTTTTTAAAAAGAAAGAAAAGAAAATTGTACATGATTCAGGCTTAACTGTAAGCAACTATAATCCCAGCACTCACAAAGCTAAGAAGGAGGATCATGAGTTCAAAGCTAACCTAGGCAATAGAGAGATTTTATATTTATATAAATATATGTATGTTTTCTATATATGATTCAGAGATGTATAGGATAATATCCACAAGGCTGACGTGTGTGTGTGTGTGTGTGTGTGTGTGTGTGTGTGTAGGAATGTACACACACAAACAAATTACAAGAATAAAGGAAAATGAAAACATTATCAGATAGAGGGATAAAAGAAATTTATCACCAATGAAAATAAACCATTATAGTGCTACAAAAGTATTTAGACTATACGTGAACATTGTATCTCCAGGAATGAATAAAGAAAACATTCTCAAATATTTCTTTCTCTGTGTGTATGTACATACACCATGTGTGTTATAGTGCCTTACATGAATGCACTCAGATTCCCTGGAGTTACAAACAGTTGTGAGCCACCATGTGGTGCTGTGAACTCAGGTCCTCTGGAAGAGTAGTGAGTGCTCTTAGTCACTGAGCTATCTCTCCAGCCTCTCAAGAAAATTTTTACTTTATAATTTTAAAAAATCTTTTGGTCTTTTATGTCTCAGATTCTCACTCAGGTAGTTCTGAACACATGTAACTGTTTTTAACTTTAACATATACATATACACTGTCCTAGTTAGCTTTAACTGTCACCTTGGCAAAGTATAAAATCACCTAAAAGGAGAGTCTCAACTAAGGGATTGACCAAATCAGATTAACCTGCAGGAATGTATGCAGGGGACTGTCTTGATGGCTAATTGCCATAGGAGAGCCCAGACCACTGGGAATGGCAGTATTCCTAGGCAGGTAGTCCTAAGCTGCATAAGAAAGCTAAGTATGAGCCTGAGGGAACCAGCAAGCATAGTGTTTTGATGATTTTTTCATACCTTGACTTCTCTTAAAGGAGGATTGTGACTTTTTAGCTAAATAAGCCCCTTTGTCCCCTAAACTGCTTCTACTGAGAGTCTTATATAACGGTAATGGAAAGAAAACCAGGACACAAACGGAACGTGAGAGGCATAGATACACATGGAGGTTAGAATTGTGTGCCTAAGGTAAACTATAGATTTCCCCAGCTCCTCCAAAAGTAAATGGTTCTGAGAAGGGGAGATTGCTCACTGGAACACCTGTGTCTGACCAGCATGAATGCTGTGGGACAATCTTTGTGTATACTATAAAGATGTGTTATTGTGATTGGTTTAATTAAAAAGCTGACTGGCCAATAGCTAGGCAGGGGAAAATAGATGGGTTTTCCAGAGAGAGAAAAAGAACTCTGGGAAAAAGAGAAATGGAGAGACACCCACAAGGCTTGGACCAAGTCAAGCATATGGTACAAAGGAGAGGTTAAGTTAAAAAAAAAAAACTAGCAGAACATAGATTAATAGAAGCAGGCTAACTTAAGTTATAAGAGCTAGTTGAGGACAAGCCTAAGCTAAAGATCAAACTTTCATAATTAATAATAAGTCTCTGTGTTATTACTGAGGAGCTGGTGGTCCAAGAAAATCTAACAAGAAAAGTCAGACTACACATGGAGACTTGAGTTCAGACCCCTAGACTCAATGTTGAGAGGCACGCATCTGTGATTCTCATATCCCCATCATGAGATCAAAGGTGTGGACAACAGGAGAACCCCCAGGAGCTCTCAGACCCGTCTCCTGGCATACACAGCAATGAACAGCAAAAGACCCCACCTCCAAACAAGGAAGGCAAGGCCCAGCACCTGGTGCTCTGACTTCTACATGTGCAGTGCGGCTCTCTCTCTCTCTCTCTCTCTCTCTCTCTCTCTCTCTCTCTCTCTCTCTCTCTCTCTCTCTCTCTCTCTCTCTGTCTCTCTCTCTGTGTCTCTGTCTCTCTCTGTCTGTCTCTGTCTCTCTCTCTCTCATACACACACACACACACACACACACACACACACACACAGATTTTAAAAAGGAAATAGTTCTTCCACACTGTCACACTGCTATTTACTTATAAAAGCACAGGGAGTATCTCACTGCATTTTACAGTCTACATAATTATATAAATATAGCCACCTCTTATTATTTATTCCAATTCCTGGAAAGTAAAAAATGCCAATATTTCAGTAAGCGTTTTAAAAGACGACCCGCTGGCTGTGTCAGGGTTACTGCATGTGACCTTTTCAAGCAGGAGACGCTGCACATCTGTTCTGGACCCTCAACAGGGCCTAGCAACACACCCAGCAGAGTTAGTGCCTAACGTTCCCAGCTTTGATTTTTGCAATCTGTTCTGTCCTTTAAGTTCTCAAGAGTTAGTTTTTATTAAGTTATAAGACTAAGTATGGCATTCCAGATTTTCTACTGGTAAGAGAAAATGCATCTTTAAGGTTTCATCACTAAGACACGAGGAGAAGAAAGAACTGAAGCAAAGGCAGCCTAATGGGGAAAGCTTTGCTATTTCCAGGAGCTCAGCCTCATCCAAGCATCTTCTTAGTTACTCCTAGAACCAAAATTTACTTCTCACTAAGAATAGTGCTCAAAACTTGCAGAATAGGATTGGGCTACTTCCAATCCTGTTGGGGAAGTCCTTTGTCAATAAAGCACTGCTGGCCAATAGAAATCTAGATAGGTGAGACTAGGAGTCCAGGAGGACTCTGGGAAGGAGAAACACAGAGAGTCAAGATGTAACACCATGGGGTAGGAAGCCCGGAAACTTCTCCGGTAAGAGACATACTTAGATTAACAATTATGGAGTAATTACTTAAGTCAGAGCTAGCCAGTAAGAAACAAGCAAGGCCAACAGCTTCATAATTAATACAGCCTCCTGTGTGTTTATTTGGGACTGATGCGGCACTAGAACCAGGCTGGCGGGAAGGCTTCTCTCAAGGAAAAAGCCTCCCTTTACACAATCCCTTACCCATTTTAAATCAGCTTGTAGGATTGGTGGCTGTTGTTGGATTATAATTCTTCATCCTGGATATTGACCCTTCATCAGATACAAATAAGTCTCTATAGAAGATGGGCCAATGACAAAAAAAAAAAAAATATATATATATATATATAAAGATATACAGAATCTCCACACACAGAAATTGGAAATAAAACTATAGAGATATCACCTCATATCCACTGGGTGGCTGTGACAGACAGACAGACAGACAGACAGACAGACAGACAGACAGACGGCCCAGTGCACAAAGAACTTCCTAATAAGCAGGAGGACCAGATTCCCAGCATCCCTGTAGTTCAATTCCCAGCAACCACAAAGTGGCTCAAGGTGTAGTGAAATCTGGTGTCCTCTTCTGGAGTGCAGACAGAACACTGAAAACATGAAGAAGAGGAAGAGGATGAAGAAGGAAGAGGAAGAGAAAGAAAAGCCTCACTTCCCTTTCTGATGCACAGTGTAAGAAGCAAGTTTCTGTCCCGCCCAGCCCTGCATCCCTTTAGTCCCAAATAAACACAGAGGCTTATATTTGAAAGGGGTAAACTAAACTCAAGGGCTTGACTTCTAATAATTTAGAAATAAAGGGACCAGACCCTCACTCAGCCCCCTGCTTTAGTAGTCATGACAGGCTAATAAGAGACCCGTAGACCTCTAACACAAGGAAACTCTAGATCCTTTTGCCTCCCAAAGCCTAATGCCAAAACTGAACACAAAGAAACTCCAGACAACCCCCCCTCCCGCGCAGCCTCCTAGATGCTTGGTTCCTGGGAACTGTTTGGCCACAAAAGAAATTCTAGGGGCGACCAAAACCTCCCCTGTAGTCTCCAGGATATAGTTCTGAAAACTATTGGTTTCTGTGTACAACAAGCCACCTGCAAGTAACAAGGCAATGCCATAGAAACTACAGAATGTTCCCTCTCAGCACTGACTAATGAAAATAATTGTAATTGGTACACAGGTATTTCATGCGAAAATATGACTTTGAGAAATGCTCCTAATTGTTCCCAAATGTCAACCAATCAGAAACCAACCCCTACCTACTGATGTAATCCTGTAACTTTTGTCTATAAAACCTAACAGTAGACAGGGAACTTCACTCTCTCTGGGAGCTGCTGAGGCAGCTAGCCAGACGGGTCCCTATCATGGGTGGATGAACAATCATTAAACCTTGCTTTTGCAGTTTAGTGGGTCTGTCGTCCTAGTGGTCTCTGGGGACTTTGCAACTTGGGCACAACAATATTAATTATAAACTGTCAGGCTTCTTACTAGCTAGATCTTTCTTAATTGTTAACCATTTCTATTAATCTATGTATCTCCATGTGATCTTGGCTTACCGGACAATGCCTGGACCTCTTGCTTCCTCGGCAGCTACATGGCATCTTTCTGCTGACTCACTTTCTGCCTTTCCTCTTCCCAGAATTCTACTTGTCTGGTAGCTCCGCCTATACTTCCTGCCTGGCTATATCCCGACTGTCCATTAACTGAAACACCTTTATTCATCACCCAATAAGACAAACATATATTCATAGCATACAGAAGGACTTCCCACATCAATGTGCTGCTGTTAGCACAGATGCAGATACTTCGTCGTGCCTTCCCCACTGTGGGGCTCTGGAAATCTCTCAGAAGCCATGCACTTTCCTGCCTTTTGTGGTGTGTATCAGGTACACATCACAGTGACACAAAGACAACTAATAATAGCCTTGGTACCTGTTGGTAGGATCATAAAATGATACTTCCATTATGAGAAACAGTATGAAGATGCCTCAAGAAATAAAAATATAGTTACTACACAATCCAGCAACCCCACTTCTAAGTACACAGACCCAAAAACTGAAAGCTACATTCCAAAGAAAGAGTCACAAATCTACACTCATTACTTCATTGTTCAAAACACTCAAGAGGTGACAGCAACTCAAGTATTTATTGATAGACAAATAGAGAAAATGTGGCTTAGACATACATACAATGGAAATATCATCTAGTCAAGAAAAACACACAAAAAAATATATCACATACTACAACATGAATGAGCCTTGGAGACATCATGACACCTGAAATAAACTTATTGCCAGGATCAGAGGCAAGAGTTACTCATCAATGCATACACAGTCTAGGCTTCGCAAGGTTAAACAACTACAGGTATCTATTGCAAAAAGTTAACACTAGTGAACTTAAAATGATCAAGAAGTTTTGCTGTGTATTTTTACCAGATTTTTTAAAATAAAATAATATGAATCAAATCTGACTTTCAAACTACTCAGCATAAATATAACTATTTATAATTTATCATTATAATAAAAATGATATCAAGAAGATTTGCTGCAAAAGGGATTTCACTGGTTCTGTAAACCCAGTTAAAAATCTGTCATCTGTATCTGGGGAAGGGCAGAAGCTACAACTGCCATTGCTAAATGGACATGATGTGCCTATCAAATGGCCTTCCATTTGTTGATAGTTTGATGCTGCTGACGGCTCTGCTCAGAGAAGCTTCTTTCTGCAGTGTTCACTGGTGATCGCAGAGACAGATAACTGGTCCATGTACTGAGAATGAACCACTGCTGAGTGCCCAGCTATGAATGGGACATCTATGTCACCCCTACCCCAAGGCTCAGGGACCAGCATAAAAGAATATAAGAGCTTGAGGGGGGAGGTAGTGGTGTAGAACAATTTCTCTAGTCTGACGTGGCTCTGTTATGATCTCAAGCTCATAGCAGCTGCAACACCTACAGGAAACTGAGCCCATCAGCATCTGGCATGGAGGGAGGAGGGAATTGAGAGGCCCACCCTTCAGTAAGGATTTATAGTCACTTAATAACTGATGAGAAGAGAGAGGCATAAAGGGCCAATGTTCCTGTAAACAACCAGAGTGAAAACTTGTTGGGTCATAACAAATAAAAACCAAGATTTGAAAGCAGTGAAGCAAGTTGGGAAGAGGTAGGTAAGCAGGACAGAGAGAGATCAGGTGTGAACATGACGTTACGTCATTTACAAAAACTCCATAATGACATTCATTGTTATATCTAACTATTATCTACTAACAAAATGTGTCTATAAAGCTAAATAATCAGTAAACGATGGATTTTTCTGTCCTCACCAATTCTGCTCTTTGTTTCCCAGTTGGGAAGCTCATGGAAAGAGCACAGTCGTTCACTCTAAGAATTTGCTTTCATCTTTTCCTCCATCCCTTTCCCTTCCACTCACTCTGTCCCCAACTCAGAAGCCATGTGCTGACTGAAGAAAGTAGAAGAAAAAAGACTGGCAGTGGTCCACAGGAGGCACTGTGGTTCCAGGAACAATGAGGGGAAAGCTGGAGAGAAGCTCAGCATGGGCTTCATGGGAACCACATTGTCTATTCCACTTGAGTAAGACGGCAGCTCTATCAGCCAGAAAGCAAGTACTTCAGTACTCAAGACTTCCGAAACCACTGAGACAGCTGCGGGTGTAACTCTGTGGAATAGCATGCTCTAAGGCTCTAAGCTTAATCCTCAGCGTGAAGAAGAAATTATTTGAAATAATAAAATACTATTATACCCTCATTTACCACGTACCATAACTCATTTCAAGTCAAAGGTGACAAAAATAAGAAACAATACAATATAACAGACATTTTCTTTACTTGGTGAGGAAACAAAAACTAAAACATTTCTCATAAATTCGTAACTTAGTCCATTAGAAAATATCTCATTCTACAATCTCTCTGTGGCGATTTTCCATCAGTTTCATCGTGCTGTGCTTCTACAATTCTGTTTGGGTGAAAAACGCCATAATAAACAGTAAGAAAAACAATACCAAGGAGAAGGGCAAGAACTACAATGGCACTGATGGGGATAAAATAGTCTGAATTAAAAATAGAGAGAGGGTAAGTCCAGAACACAGTCAAGATTCCCAGGGTGCCTAGCACCCTTATAGTATAATAGCAAGACATTGGACATTTAGTATCCTGTCCCTTGATATTAAAAAATGTAAACACAAGGATGACTCCAACAACAATCCTATATAAGAACTCCATACTTAGAGAGTTACAAAACTGAGTTTGCCTTATACATGCCCATAGGAAACCTATGATCCAAAGGAATAACAGCAGAAACAAGGCAATCTTTACATCTACAAACAACAGAAGCACAATACTCAGTGTCCATGATAACAAGGTGAACAACTTGTAAAAGAGATAGGTGAGTTTGGGACAGAACCCACTGAGGAGATTCTTATCAGGCAATGACTTTCTTAAAGCTACTTGATAGTCCACTGTTGACCAAGAAATAGCACAGCAGGAAATCATGATGACTGCATCTACAAAACAAAACACAAAAGACATGCTGGTTTAAGAATGGTAACAGTAATACTAGCAAGAATTGTAACCACAATAGCAAATTAGCATGCTTGAGCAGTGTAGACACACACCAACACGTCAGGCAGTTTACTTGTGATTTTGATACCCCCACATTGCATTAGAGGAACCAAGGTTTGAAGAAATGTATTACTTGATTCTTATGCAACTAAAAAGGAATGGAACTGAGATTTGAAACTAAAGCTGTCTGAAAGTTGGTGTATTAATGAACTACAGCATGCTGCTTTAGAATAAACTTGAATAGATTCAGTAAAAAAACACCTTGGCTAAACACAACTATGTCTAAATTTTCTACACTATTAAGCTTTGACCTTGTAAGCATACCTAATTCACTGAGAGATAACTTAATGGGGTATGAGACAGTTAAACAGAAAATTAACATAAGTATACATCATTAACAAAATTATTTTTCATAACTTACAGACTCTTAGTAGTGTTAACAAATATGCTGTGAGATTTCTCCCAGCAAACAGCCAAAGAAGTTCATTGTTGTTCTAGAAATGCAAGCCATTTCTCACCCCACTGTCCAAACAGAGGATGTTTTAAAGGTAAAGCAAATATGTGAGAACACCAAAGTGAAGGTGGTCACTGAGTATGAGTGGCTTTGAGTCGCATCTGAGGTCCACACGTGCCTACTCATCTTTCCAATGATGTGTTTCTTGTTGAGGCTGGGCAGGGCCTCGTAAACACACTTTCTCCTCTCTTGGTCTTGCACAAAATACAATGGATCTGGACTTATTTTCTCCTCTTGTTTAATTAAAATATCACTCTCCCTTTTTTGCCCAATGACTTTTAAAAACAATTTTTTAAATCTTATGTCTAGAGGTGTTTTGCCTACATGTGCCTGATATCCACAGAGGCCAGAAGAGGGTGTTGGATCTCCTGGAACTAGCATTGGAGATAACTGAGAGTCATCATTTGGCTTCTGGAACCTGAACCTGGCCATGTGCAAGAGCAGTAAGTGCTCCTAACTGCTGACCCCTCTTTTCAGCCCATGTGATGTGTTTTTGTATTTGGTGATTTGTTTATTGTTTCGTGAAACTGTGTAGTCCAGGGTAGTTTTGAACTCAAAATAATCTGACTGCCTCAGGCTTCTGAGTGCTGGGATTACAAGTGTGCACCACTGTGCCTGGCTTTAATCGCTACCAAATTAACACACACGCATGGCTTTAAAAGCTCTACAACCCCTAAAGGAAACCAGCAGTCACTTTCTCTAGGTCCTCTCCCCACTGAGCTGTAACCCCAGCTCCACTAGCCATCGCCCTGGCATACACTGTCATATTCCTACATAAACACAGTCTTTCCATCTTCTATTGGAATCTTATTGACACCTTTGTACTGGTATTTTTGTTATTCTACCAAGTAGTATCTTTATCCTTAAGTGTTGACATTGTTCCTTTATTCTTCTAAGATCAAAGAATATGCTCAATCTTATAAGCCCTTTCTACAACATGATTTTTAGTTTTCATTTTTTAAATTAGCAACAAAGGATCTAGTTATCACTATGCCATTTTCAAACAGTGTTTTAGTAACTCCCTCCTCCTCACCTCCCCATCACCCCTGTCCCCATAGCCTTTTTTCTGCTTTCTTGTCACATGTGCCCCTCCCATTCCTTAGCTGCATTTTGTAACAACCATGTTGGTCTCTTTTCTAATTTTTTATGCTTTAACTGAATTTACATACATTTATATGTATACATGCATACCTTACAAGATAGAGTCTGTGTATGCGGGAGAACATGTGCTTTTTGCCTGAGTTTGAGTCATCTGATATAATATTATACTATCCAGGTTCATTCATTTCTTACAAATTTCATTCTTGCTTATAAATAAGTAAAATTCCATTGTATATATGTGCCACATTTTCATTATCTATTCATCTGTTGATGAACATCTAGTTTGGGTCCATTTCCTTGCTGCTCATAATAGAGCAATAATAAATATGACAGTGCCAGTATTCCCTGTTAGGATATAGGGGCCTTGTAGTATGGTAGGTCCACTTTTTAATTTTTTAGATACTACTGTATTGATTTCTCCTAGCTTGTTCATCTTTTTTCCCTATCTTTGCCAGCATCTGTGATATCTACTTGACTTGGGTGAGATGAAATCTAGAAATCATTTTAACTTACATTTCCCTGATGGCTAGGGATATTGAACACTTTTTCAGATACTTATTGGAAGCCAGAAATGGTAGTGGATGCCTTTCATCCCAGTTCCCAGGAGGCAGAGACAGGAAGATCTCTGATTTCAAGGCCATCCTGATTGGTCAACAGAGTGCCAGGTCATGCAGGGCTACGCAGAGAAACCCTGTCTCAAAATAAACAAAGAACAACAATAACAAAAAGATACTTATTGTAAATCCGTGTTCTGTTGATGACTATCGAATCCATTACCCCATTTGCTGAAAGGTAGTTTGAAATTTTAGTGTTTAATATTTGCAACTTTTTGTACATTCTGCATATTAGGCCCTTATCTGAAGTACAGCAGGTACAGATTTTCCTCCTAATCTGTGGGCTGATTGCTCTGACATAGGATTTGCTGTGTAATAATTCAGTGTGGTTCCATTTGTTGGTTCTGGAGGCTAGCTCCTGTGTTGCCAGGGTTCTGTTCAGAAAGTCCTTGCCGATACCATTCCCGGGTTTTCTCTAGCAGTTTCAACATTTCAGGCTTTAAATTATGGTCTTTACTCCATGTTGAATTGATTTTTTGCACAACATAAAAGATACGGTTTTCATTTCATTCTTCTGTAGGTGAATATACAATTTTGTCAGCACCATTTCTTAATATTAAAAATTTTACATTTTTTAAATAAAAAAACACATCATTTTCCCCTGCTCCTTCCTCCCTCCCATATTCCTGTGTCTTGTTCCCTCTTAAACTCATGGCCTTTTTAAAAGTTGTTACTGTTACTGTTGTGCATGCACACACACTTTTACACACATGCTTCCATATATAAAGTCAACCTGCTTAGTTCATTTAGTGTTGCTTGTATGTATGTGAATTCAGAACTGACCACTTGGTATTCAGTAACCAATTAGGGGTTACATCTCTGGGAAAGACTATTTCCCCCAGTCCCAGAATCCTTAGTTGTCTGTAGTATCTTGCTATGGATGGGGCCCTGTGAGATTCTCACTTCCATGTTAACATGTCTATTGGTGTTATACTCCTTCAGGTTTTGTTTAGGCAGCCATATTGGTGAGGTATTGTGGATGAAACCTCCCTGTCATTTCTAGGGAACACTTCTCACAGCAGACTCTGGCTCTTACAAGAATCTGCCCACTCTTCTGCAACGTTCCCTGAGTCTTAGGTGTGGGAGTTGTGTTGCAGATGTACCAGCTGAGGCTGAGAATCTCACAATCACTCATTTCATAACAAGGTTGGGACTTTCTGTAACAGTCTCTTCTATTGCAAAGAGAATTTCCGTGATGGGGGTGACAGCTACATTTATCTGTGGGTACAAGGACAAATATTTAAAATACTGTTAGGAATTATGATGGCTTAGTAAAATGGCAGTGGTAAGTCCTCCTCTAAGGTCCTTGACCTCACTAGTCCTTATTGGCTGGCTAGGTAAGAAACACACGACTTTGCTCCTGCTGAGCTGGCCTTAAGTTCAATGAAAGAGCTGTTGGTTACTGCTGAGATAATCACTATTGCACCCTTAGGATTGCCATGCCATCCTAGTTGTGGTTCATAGGTGCTACAGCTGGGTAGGATCATTGGCTGCTTCTCTCCCTTGGAAACTTGCATAGAAAGTTCCAGTACTATGGAAGCTAGTTCTCAGGTGTTGGGGTGGCTTTCAAGTCAGGTCCAGCCTGGGTCCCTGTTCCTTTGTCTAAAGTGTGTGGTGTCTTCAGAAATAATGCATTAACTTCTACTTCTGAGAGGCAAACAAGGACAAAAACAATAGCCTATATTGTTTGGGGGGTCTCTTGGACTCCTCTGACCAACAACTGGAAGAGATGTTTCTCGTGCCTGGTATTGGGGTTGTTTTTAGATATCTGTGACTCTTGGGGGAGACTGTTAGGCCAAGCCAACATCATTTCTTGAATGACTGTCTTTCTACTGCATGTTTTAGACAACTCTGTCAACAATCAGGCAGCCACGGCTTGTTGGTTTATTTCCAGACTCTTTATTCTGCCAATTTAAGACTGCATTTATTACTACTTGATATTTGTTTTGTGGACTTTGGTGGGTCCATGTGAATTCTTAGATTATTTTTACTAGTTATAGGAAGGATGACACTGGAATTTTGATGGAAATCACATTGAATCTGTTGAGTATTTTTAGTAACTCAGTCATCTTTACAACATAGGGTCTGCCAAGCCAGGAACATGGAATATCTTTCCATTACCTAATATGGTCTTTGGTTTCTCTTTTTTTTCAATGTCTTGATTGGGTTTATTCCTAGGTATTTTATTTTTGTGAGCTATTTAATTTTCCCTAATTTGTTTCTCTGTGAGTTCTTGGTATATATGAAGGGTACTGATTTTTGTATAATGATTTTTGTGTCCTACAACCTTAATAAAAGTACTTTATTAAGTTTGCAATTCTTATGGTCTAGGGAGTCTGGAAGTACAGAGTTACACAGTCTGCATTAGGGACAGTTTGACTTCCTCCTTTCATGTGTTTATCCCTTTTATGTCTTTCATTTGTCTTGTTTATCTAACTAGGACTTTGAACTCTCTATTGAGCAAGAGAGATAAAAGTAGGAATCTTTGTCTCGTTCCCAGTTTTAGAGGAAATGCTTTCTATAAGTATAATATTGGCTATCAGTTTCTTGTTTATGGCTTTTACATTTTGAGGTATGATCCACCCATTCCTAATCTCTCCAGGACTTTCATCAGGAAGGCAGGTTGAACATTTTGGAATCTCTCCCACATCTCCTTCTTAAGTCTACTTATATAACATATTACATTTATTGAATTGAGTGTGTTACATTAACCCAGTATATCTGGAATGGCACTCATTTGGTTATCGTCTATGATAGTCTTTGTGGTAACATGATACTTTTATATTTTGAATAATTTTCATGATTTTCAAAAAACATAAAAACATGAAAAGAATCATTCAAAATTCCACTACCAACAGCAGTCTTACTTAACATTTTGGCACACTTTCATCCAAATGTTTCTTCCTAGTCACTTATGTGTATCCTTAAGAATATGTTGATAGAAAACCTTATGAACAGTTTTGATTAAATTTGTTTTCCTATGTCATTAAAATTTCTCTGAAAAGACTCTTCTAAGAACTATATGTTTTATTTTAAATGTCTACAGAAAGTTAGCCAAGTTATCTGTTGATAGATAATTACAACCCCTCCCCCCACCTTTTGTTTGTTTGGTTGGTTGGTTGGTTTTGGTTTTTGACTCTGTGAGACAGAGTTTCTCTGTGTAGCCCTCTGACTGTCCTGTAACTAGCTATGTAGACCAGGCTGACCTCAAACTCACAGAGATCCACTTGCCTCTGCCTCCAGAGTGCTGGGACTAAAGGTGTGCAGGACCACTGCCCGGGTATTACTTTTAAATAACTCTTCAAATTTTCCCTTGAAAAAAAGCAATAAGGAGGCAGTGGACACATGCATCCATTCCTACCCAGAAGCTATCTCCAATTGACAACCCCTTGCAAATGAAAATATAGTTTTCTCCAAGGGAGCCTCACCGGGGAAACAAACTACTCTTAAGTGCAGGCTGTATGCCCAGCAGTGGATGGCCAACAGAAAATGAACTCAGTGGCGTCTTTGGAGGTTCTTTGTCTCATAATGTTGTGTCAGGGATTTTTCTTTCTTGTTTTATTTTTAACTGTCTGTCTGTCTGTCTGTGTATCTATGTGTTACCCTACAGGTTCTTTGCACATATAGTATGACTTCTGGTTTTGTGTTTTTATGTCATGCAAACAGTGGGTTTCCACGTCTATATCTTCCTCTTGTACCTTTTCTTGGGCTCTTTTGCCCTATTCTGATTTGTTTGTTTTTTATGTTATTATGATTTATCTTATTTTATTGTTATCTCTTAGATGCCTGTTAGTTTTCTAGGGAGAGACAGAAAGGGAGTAGATATAAATGGGAGTGGTAAACTAGAAGTAATAGAGGGAGGGAAACTGTATTCAGGACATATTGTATGAAAAACTCTATTTTAAATTTTTTAAAAGATCAAAAGAAAAAACAATAAAGATAAGGACAGAATCATACCTTAAAGATGCAAAAGTGTATCTGTGACATCATTTAATAGTCATATATTTTCAAATAACCTAAATTAACATAACTAACACAGTGGCTGGTAAATTATGGTTTATCTGTCATTTGTAGCATTATGCATGTGATAAGAAGAATGAGGGAACCCTTCTCTACCGATTTGGACAGTGCTGCAGGATGTACAGTTGAAAACAAAACAAAAAACCAACTACTATCTTGTCTTAAGGGAAAAAATAAAACAAAACATAGCACACACTGATGGGGGATGTCCTTCTGTACATATGTTTCTCTTATTGGATGATTAATAAAACACTGTCTGGCCAAAGAGGCAGGAAGATAGGCAGGACTAGGATGAAGAGAATTCTGGGAAAGGTAGGCAGGGAGAGTCCACCAAAAATAGTCACCATGTAGTTGACAAAGGAGTAGAAGGTCTGGACATTCTCTGGTTAGGCAAGATCACATGGAAATATATAAATTAGTAGAAATGGGTTAATAATTAAGACAGAGCTTGCTAATAAGAAGCCCTAGTCATCTGCCAACAATTTTATAACTAATATAGCATCTCTGTGCTTATTTGGGGCTGAAGTGGCAACGGGACCTAGGCAGGACAAGAAAACTTTCATTAACTGTACACTTTTTCCAGGTTCTCTGAGGGACCATCTAGTAGCCAACAGCAGTGGTTTCCCTTCTAGGTAGACAAGAAAAGAAACATAAAGAACAGAAATAGAGATTATATCTTTACACATTTCTTAATACTTGAAACATGCTGCTGAATTTCATTTCAAAAAATAAACTTTTGGGAATTAAAAAATTCTAAAAGTCCTGAGATTTATGAAGTTATAATAAGATCTCAGTGGCATATATCTAGCCAGGGGTATTGAGAAAGACTTACACTGACTTAAATTTGCCTGACCACGTTCCAGAAAGGCATAGAGCTGAAGGATGAGTTGTGGGCAGCCTTCCAGGTAGGTCTCAAACAGCCTGAGCATACTCAAGTCGGTGGTTATGTCTATGGCTTCTTTATGAGGATCTGTTTGTTCCTCCATGAAATTACTCGTCCTTTTGCTGTGTTTGAAAACCACATGGTAACCCTTTCTCAGGGCAAACCAATACCTATAAAATAAACATGAGCATTTCTCTTCAGTCACATACTTTTAGACATTAAATTCACTTTAATTAACATATTAAAGATAAAATTATGAATATTTATGAGATATGGATGCTTCAAAACATGTACTTTTCAATGTTTAAATCAAGTTAAACATTTCTGTTACTTCAAATATTTATCATTTCTTTCTAGTGGAAATACACAAAAATCCTTCTTGTAGTGCTATATTATTGTGATTTATTAAAGCTTGCCTGAGGATTCGGAAAACAAATCAGCCACAAGCCATAGAAACCAGGCACAAACCTTTAATCCTAGAACTCAGGTTTAAGACACAGATGGATCTCTCTGAGTTCAAGGCCACCCAGGGATACACAAGATTGAATCAATCTAAAAGAGTAACAGAGCTCACGCCTTTAATCCCAGCAATAGAGGGGTATATAAGACAGGAGCAAATTCAGTAGAGGCTTTCTGTCTCCAGCCACACTGAGGAGAGGTTACAGTCTGAGGCTTGGTGAGAGGTCTTGAAGACAGGATCAGCCCATTTAGCCTGAGGTAGAGGTAAAAAGCTAGTGGCCAGCTGCTTTGCTTTTCTGATATTCAGCTTGCAGTTTGAACCCCAATATCTGTCTCTGGCCATTTGTTTTTTGTGTTACACCTAGCTTTTTGAAATATACAGACAAGGTCATTATTTATAGGCATCCTATCATGCAACAGATCCTATTTTTTTTCTCTTACTTTTATTTAGCACCTACACTTACATGTTTTTATGATGTGTATATTGATGTACATATCGAATAAATATAAGTACAGAATTTTCCACAAATATTCTTCGGTGCAGGTCCTTTACACTCACTCCACAGGCTTCATGGAGATTCGGACCTCATGAAATTTTAATGAGTAAGTGATATGTGTATTAAGTACAGATGGTCATTTTTACAATAGTCATGAGATAGTCAGGAACACCTCTCATTTCTCAATTAGGAAAACTAAGGCTGCCAAGGGTAAAATGATTACTGATTCTTATACAAAGAATAGTGGGCCAATGGAAAGTTCAAACCCAGAGTCTGTGATCCTTAACTACTGTATTTCAGAAGACAAGCAATACTTTACTATTGTGATAGTTTGAATGTAATTGACCCCCATAATCTCATAAGGAGAGGCATTATAGGAGGTGTGGCTTTGTTGGGGTGGATACGGCCTTGTTCGAGGAAGTGTGTCACTGTGGGAGTAGGCTTTGAGGTTTCCTATGTTCACGATACCACCCAGTATCTCACTCACTTCCTGTTGCCTGCAGGATATGGGACTCTCAGTTATCTTTCCAGTACCATGAATACCTGCATGCCACCATGCTCCCCACCATGATGATAATGGACTGGACCTCTGAAACTGTAAGCAAGCCACCTCAATTAAATGTCTCCTTTATAGAGTTGCCATGGTCATGGTGTCTCTTCACAGCATAGAAACCCTAAGACAAGTGTTTATCCATTTATCTTAACTACAATACAAAACATTTACTCACAGAATGTGAAAGTTGAAGAGAAAATTGAATCTTTTCCATTGAATTTAGTAAGTCATTAATGCCAGCAAGGCATTCTCTGAGCAAATGGTTCTCATAGTAGAAATACAAAAGAAAACAACAACAAAAACCCTCCAAGACTCTTAATGTACTCCTGCTCAGGACCTTCTCCTGAAAGAACTTTTAAATAAATACTAGCTACCCGCCTACAGATAAAATCCATAATAAACAAAAGTTGACACATATTTAGAAGCAATCTGAGGCTAGGAGAAAGGCAACCAAGACACTATTTCAAAACATATCAGAATTCCTTACCTACTATCAGTTCCTTCATGTATATAATAATAGGCAGACAGACATAGATACAGGTGATATAGATATATTCACCACGCTGTTTAAACTTAAATGTTAGGAAATTCTCAAACCCTGTAAAAGTTATTCCCAAATATCCTGGATTCTAACGTTAAACATATCCAAACTCTAAACACTTCATGCCACTTATGATATGACCTCCACGCCCAAGTTAATCAGGTAACCGCTCACCCAGATTATCTCACTAGTTCCATAACTGTTCTTCCTGGTTCTATTCTTTAGGGGAGGGGTGTGCCACAGTATTTAAGTGGAGTTCAGAAAACTGCTTTGGGGAATGGGTTCTCCCCTTCCACCATATGTGTTCCAAGGATCAATCTCAAGTTGTTCAGCTTGGCAGCAAGCACCTTTACCTTCTTATCCATCTTGCCCACCCCAGATTCTACTCTTGTTCTTCATCCTACTCTCTTCACAACATCTAGATTGAATGCTTTGAATATAATTCATATGCCATTCTTCTAGCAAAAATGTTCCAATGATTTCTATCAGACTTAAAAACCCAAATTATTACTATGTCTTCTAATATTCTCCATGATCTGCTTCCACACACACTACCATCCACTGTCTTTCCATTTTCTCCCACAATTCCAGTGTGCTGCCTTGCTCCCTTTCACAATTTAAAGGCTGCTGTCTTCACTACTAAATGTACCTAGACCTTTTCTAAACCCAATATATTTTAATATTTGGCTCCTTAACTTTACAAGTTTCTACTTGGTTGTCATGTCTATGAATTATATTCCATATGGGCTAGATGCCCAGGTAAAGAAAATACCAAGAACACTGACAACTTCATGATCTCTATTCTCAATGGTCTTACAATTCAATAGGCATATCAAGTATATCTACTGCTAACTGCAATATAAGGCAGAAGAAATAAGCAAGCATTAGAATATAAATACCACACCGTAAAAGTATAGCATGGAAGAAAATTAACATTGCTTGGGCCTAATTTATAATAGAAACCTTAACTTGGGTCTGTTCTGGATTTCTAGCACAACAAGAAATGCCTGATTCCTATTTCTGAAGTGGTTTATAAATCAGTAGGTTAAATACTATTCAAAAGCATGAAATTACATAAATATTATCAATTACACATAGAAAGCCTAATTAACACAGGCAGCAAAAACTGTTAGAGGAAAATATGTCAGTGTTAGGAGTAGAAACTCAGCCAGGTGGGGGTGGCACAAGTCATTAATCCAAGCACTTGGAAGGCAAAGGCAGGCAGATCTTTGTGAGTTCAAGGCCAGCATGATCTACAATGTGAGTTCCAAGACAGCTGGAGTAGTTGCACAGAGAAACTCTGTCTCAAAAAAAAAAAAGAGTAGTAGAAACTGAAACTCAGCTAAATATGGTAGCGAACACATAGAGGCATGGTATGTGTATACATATACATGAGGGTCACTTGAGCCCAGGTGACAGTGAAACCACATCTGTATCAATAGGTAGTTAGGTAGATGGATGAGAGAGAGAGACAGAGACACAGACACAGACAGACAGATGACAAACAGATGTTTCAATGGTTAGTGTTAATTATCTATTTGACAGAATCTAGACTCACCTGGGAGAGGGGTATCTGGGCATGTCTGTGGGTGATTATTTTGATTTAGTTCATTGTTGTGGAAAGATCCATTTTACCTGTGGGCAGAGCTATTTCCTGAGCAGGGGATGCTGGACTCTATAAAATGAAGAGCTTAAAGCTAGCGCACATTTATCACTTTCTGTTCCTCTCTGTGGATGCAAGGTGGACTATCTGTTTAAGGTTCCTACTTCCTTGAATTTCCCACAAGGATGGATTGCACCTTGAATTGTGAGCCAAAATAAACCCTTTCTCTCTTAAATTGATTTTGTTGGAGTCTTTTCAATCCCACCAATAGGGAGAAAAACTGAGAGAGACAAAAATTCTAACAACATCAAAATGTCTTGGTTCAAATCCAGATTCTATCAGTTTCTAACCTCTCACTGCTCAGTTTCCAAAACAGAAAACTTCCTTCTGATCAGTCGGCATCGCTCCATATGAATTGTATATGTAAGATGCCCACGTGAACCATGTACAGTGCTGTGTACGTCCCTGGGAAACAAAGTGAATAAGCTGTCTACACTTACAGGGACATGAAGGAGGAGTTTTGCTCAATAACATAATGGTTCATGAAAATTGTGTGTGTGTGTGTGTGTGTGTGTTTGAGGTTAATTTCATACAAAGGAAGATTTGAGTATAATTTCTTGACTCGTAAGACATTGTTCCAGTTTATGGAACAAATAGTCAATAAGTCCAAGAAAAAGAAGCAACACCTTCTTAGCATAATGTATCCCCATATATCCTTTCACTTGAAAAAAATAAGTTTCAGGTCTTATTTTCCAGTAATGAATTGCTGTTAGCAGGCAAACTTCCTAGTGACAAGGGATGAATTCTGAGAAACACACACATACCAGTGAAAAAGAGAAAAAAGAAAAACAAGCAAAACCAGGAAGGAACCCAAAGGCCTTGTGTGAACTCCACTGCATGGCTAGTTGGCTTCTCCTCTGAAGACGCCCACATTCCAAATTACACAAGCTATATACAGCTCAAGACTAGTCAAAATATCCTGATGAGAAGCTCAGTGAGACCCTCCAGAGTAGTAGAAAGTTGGGGCATTTCAGCAAAGAGAAAGCCATGGGTACAGAACCCATCTCTACACTTACTTTCCTCAAGCCTTTGTGCATTCCTCTACCTGTAAACATGGAGTAAGACTTCAAGAACCAGGAGAAAACAAGTAAAGGGAACCCCTAGAGATTTCACCAGCTAGCTACATCAGGGAAGAACTATGAATTTGACTCTCACCAAATTAGAAGTGACAGGCAAATATCTCATAAATTCCCCAAGTCCCAGAAAATGTCACAGTGTAGAAGCATAAAGTACATCTCAAAACTAAGAGATTTTACCATGGGGGAAAAACAAAAGAGACCTGCCCAATCTACTCTTCAAACAAGCTCCTGTAAAATAGCAAGGGGATTTGCCTGTAATTTGGCTGTTGCTTTGAAAGAAACCAATATCATTTCAAGGTGTCAGTCACCTTGTAATACTCACAGCACAATGAAAAAAATTACTTGACACACAGCCAATGAGGAAATGTAACTCAAAAC